ATTTTATTATTATGTCTCATTATACGATTTCGTTACATTCCGCAATAGTCACTGCGGAATCGAAAAAGGAAGGTTGCCTGTAAAGCTGATTTTTGCATTAATGCGTTTATTGTTTTTTGAATACTTTGCCTGCGAAAATTACTTGGATATTATTTTTCTAAAAATATCGTGGAAATAAGGTAGGTTGATACAGAAACTATTTATTGCACATGTACAGTACTGTATATAAGCTTCAAAAATAAATAAATAAATAAAATAAATTTTATCAAACGATGAGATCAACCGATTAATTGTATCGTGTACAATATCTTATACCCCTAAGGAAAATACTGTGGATGTACGGTAAAATAAATTTCGTTTTCTCAGTTAAACTTCGCCACTAATTGCCGTTGCGATAAACCATTTTCACTTTCTCCGGTAACTTTAACACGATCTTCTAACGACAGCGCTTTGCATTTCTTTCGTTTTTCGGACATTTTCCAACAAACTGAAATGAATTTCCTTCGTTGCTAGACTAATTTAATAACACCTGTACCTAATTTCTAGGGTGGGAGAAGTGCCCGGGATGGGTTCGAACAATAGTTTAGACTAATTCATTATATTAGGAGGGAGAAACGTTGTCGAGATGGGTTCGAACAATAGTTTAGACCAGATCAGGGGTCGGCAACCTTTTGAGTCGGAAGAGCCAAAATTACAATTTACAAAATTTCAAAGTTTTTAAAGAGCCACAAAATTTTTTCTTGCCAACAATAAATAGTACTCGCATAAATAAAGTTTTTTGATAAAAAAAAAAATCTATTTATTCATAAGAAAAAATATCTATTTATTCATATATAAGTAGTGTTTTTCACAACAAATTAGATAATAGAAACATCCGACGACGGCGTCATTCGAGAGCTTCCGACGGACTGACGACAGTGACGACGCGTGTCACGGGGGAGGGGTGCGGTGAAAAGCGAGTACAAGTGGCTGAGAGATAGAATCGGTGTCTAATCCTCGTTAATCGATTCAGAACGATTTTTAAATGTTTTTTTGATAAAATAAATATTTGCGTATGGAAGTAAAGAGCCGCAGCTTCACATCCAAAGAGCCGCAGGTTGCCGACCCCTGGACCAGATACATTCGCGAAAGTGGTCGCTTGTTACGAGTGTTGTATGTTGTTTCGGACCAAAAATCCATGCCCGCGGTCGCGTTACGCGGGTGGTCGCTTATTATTTAATACGGGTAACTTATAAGAAGACTATGGATAAACTATTCCGTGCCAGAAATTTTTGCCTGTTTTGACGGGTGCCCGTCGAATGCGGGTGGTCTCCTAAGCAGTTTTCACTGTACACACACCATAGCCTCTTACGTAATTTCTCAAAACATATTCCTACATTTATTTAAGGGTAAAAATTGTCGAAATTTTTTAATAGTTTTAAATATATTTTTTATATTCGCCGAGTCGTATCGACCCCCCCAAACCTTCGCGGACCCTTAAGGGGTCGATGGTAAAAACCCCGATTTAACGCGGACCTTCCCCGTCGGAATTTAAACTACTCCGTCCCGGTAGTGGCGATAAGACGATAGTTCTGGTAGGTAGTCCGACTTCGTGTCTGGGTTTTAAAACGTTATGTTTGAAAAATGACCGGGCCTTCGTCCCTTCCAGTAAGCGTTCGACAGGATAAATTGGTAACGGCGGGAAAAAAGAAAGGAAACATTTTCGAACTTTCCTTAAGAACCCGAGAAGAGCCTATTTTAAAGGTTGTCGGCGGGGGAGGCTGGGGAAGGACGAAAGGAAACTCACCTCTTTTCCCAAGAGAGCGTGCGGCGTGTAGACTGTGGTCTTTATATCTGCCGAGGCCACCGGATCCACCGTGGTCACCACCGCCGCGTCCGTCTACGGAAAAAACAAATGGGTCAATCGCCACGTGACAAACCATTTTCTCGGCCTTACCTGGATGGGATGGCAGCGGGACCGTCCGATTTCCACTCCGCTAATACGGAAGTCGAAGCGAATAATTAATTATTCGGCGGCCACCCTCGTTTATCCACGTCCGGAAGCTTTGGTAATTAGGAGGGCGGAAAACGTTTAACCCGCGAGGAATTAGTTTTTAATCTATAAACACGTACGAGGTATTAACTCCGTTCTTTTTAAACGACGTTCGATGATCGTCCGTTCTTCTTAAACGACGGGCGCCTTCTTTCTCCCCGGGTAGAAGACCAACGAAAGGCCAATCTTAAAACGCCCGGGTCGACGTAATAGTTGTAAACCGGGTTCGAAAAATAAGAGATTTTTACGTCCGTGGTTATTTCGGAATATTTAAAAAATGTTCTAAAAGTCCGAAAAGGGTTTGGCAAACGCGTAGCAATATTTATACGGTGTTTGTATTACATTCACCGGCTTTTGTCCAACCCAAGTGTCTGTAAATAGAAAAGATCGGACGTTTCCGCCGGAATTTAAATGCCCTTAACGTCTTCTCGTATTCCGAAATTATAAAACTCTTACTTACCCAGTCGTTACCGAAAAGGTTTCTAAATGCGTGGATCGGCGTCACCTGATCCGGTTCCACCTGAAGGAGTTTTAACGGTCGGTATTATAACTTTAGTAATACGTTTTCTTATTTTAATAATACTTTACCACGGACTTGTCTTCTCTTTTCAATTTCGTCGGATAAAAGAAGCAGTTTACGCCGTCGATTGCCACCAAGACGCGTAACTTGTCTTTAAATCTTAAATAAAAAAAGCGGAAATTATAATACGAGACTGGAAGAAATTACTGTATTCGAAAGAAAACAGAATACTTTGAGTGTACGTGTCGATATTATAACATTCTGTTTTAAAGAAAATAATAATATATGCCGCCGCTTATCTTACAGGATAAATTACGTAATTCATTAAAGTAGCGTTACTTCAAAACTTCCAAATTTATTTCGGAATATCGTTAATGTTTTAAAGAAAATAATAATAACGACAGTTAAACAACGAAAGTAAGTCGTATCGAATAATAAAAAAAAACATTCCATTGTTCCGACGAAAATAAATAAAAAAAAAAAAAAACATTGACGGGAACAGTTCTGGTATCTCTCGTTGAAGTATTAACAATAAGAAATAATTAATTAAAATTCAAAATATAGATATTTTTATTTAAATTTTTCTAATCGACTTAACGTCCTATTGTTCGCCACCTCCCAAAACTTACCACGAGAACAATTTCTTGGAAAGACTAGACTCCCGAAGACAGCAAATAATTTTTACTTCTATATTTACAGTACTATGAAAAATTATTATTGTATCCGAAGAATTTTTACACGTAACTTCGTCGTATTTATAACCTTGGTCGATAATATTGTAAAATTCAAAAAAGAAAAAACGAGTCGACGTTAAAATTATTTACCACAAAATTATATTTATGTAAAATTTTACACGGTATTCCGTGTCGAAACTACTCCCACAAAAACCGTAGTCTACTTCTTACAATCGCGTTATCCTCGGTTTCGGTCCAATAATGCCAAAAATTTTCAAATGCTTCCATAAAATTCCAGGCTTCCCAAAGTGCCAGTTTTCTCCTCGAAAAAAAAAGAAAAATTATACTTTAGAATGATTTCCGTTTGTCTCGAAATTGAGTTTTTGTTCATTTCTATAATTTAAAAAATGTTAGCTACTTCTTGTCTACGAAAGAAACTGAATTACACCTTTACCGTCCCGGTCAAACTGATTGTTCTGCCAATTTTACGCGTAATGCCATCTAAAACTACAGAATATCAAAACTAAAATTTAAAAAAAAAACATAAATTTTGATTCAAAATGTTAAACGATAAGGTAAAAAAACATTACACGTGTAAAAACAGAGCAAAAAGAACTACAGCGAAGAGGAAAACAAATGATCAAACCCATCCTTTGTACATAAAGTAACAAGATACACTGTTAAATGAATAACTGTTTTACGTAAGAAACAGCAACCCGCAAAAGTAAAAATAATTTTACTACGTTAAAAACACCGATAAATGTATTAAGACCGTCCCACTTAAAACCAGTTTATGTGAAAATATAATGTTAACGTTGACAGAGTGGCAAATAAAACATCTGGTGGAGTTAATATATTGTACAATAACCCCAATATGTAATGATTTGTCGCCGTTACGATAATTAATCACTGTGATCCGAAACACACTTATGTATTTTGATATCAAAAACCCTAAGTATAATGCTCGCCTGTATGGAGGCCCTATTACCAAACTCGAGGCGGGAAGTTTCGAAATTCTAAGTACGTTGTGGGTAATATGAATATGACGTTTTATTGATTAAATGTATATTTGCAGTTTGAATATTTATGTATATGTATATTTGATATTGTATATTATGTATGTATATTGAATATTTATGTTATCTATATTTGCATGTGATTGAAGCCGTTTAATATTATTTGTTATATTGATTTGATAGGACAAAATGTCTGTTTTTTTCAAAGGAAAAAGGGAATTTATTAGGAGGAACGTAGAAATATCTGGGCACAAAGAATAATTTCTTATCGTAAATCGTAACTTTTATACAGTACGACATTTTTTATATTTTTCATGTAGTATATGAAAACAGATATTCAAAATACAGTGTATATATATACTTTGCCCGCTTTTTATTTATTCTTTCTTGGTTTGTTAACAGAAACATTCACTCAATTATAAAGTGAAAAATACATTAAATCATGCAATAAACTTTGTCTATGAGAACCGTTCAATCCTAATCCAATTTGTGGATTTTATTCTCAATAATTTCATTTGAAATGCGTGTTAAAATTGAAATCTACATTTATATTCTGTATTTTGCCTTAGATAAATACTTTTCACTTACTATCAACTGCTTTATCAAGTTTCTTATATCAGTCACATCTTACTTATTAGAAGAATTAAATCATAAATAAATTAAGAAAGTTTCTTCCTAACAAAATATCTAATTTAACAATTCTTAGCATTTGTTTTCAATATATTTAAGATTATTTCATACAAAACACAATTATCTGTAATAATCTGTTTTGTAAATGATATCACTGAAATGATATGTAATTTATACCAAAATAAAAATGGAATTTCCCTTTCCGAAGCCTCTAGAACTTCCTGCACGTAGGGTCGGACCCATTGGAACTTGTGTTGGAATCAAATGTTGTGGGACGTTGGCACACGCAAACGCTCAAATTTGAAGTTTTTCTGGTAGAAAGAACGAGTTTTACATTGTGAACTCTCAAAAAATTCTATTTCTTACTCTTGTTAATTGTTGCATTTTTTAAATTTTTTTATTTTATTTTTTGTTCAAGTTTTTAAAAATTTAGTTAGTTCTTTTTGTGTAGTATTATGTATTATCTAGTTGTCATTTTAATAAACACCCATTATCTCAAACTATTTAGACTTACAATATAAATATTTGAAATCTATAGTTGAGGAAAGGACAAAATTCCTCAACTATAACGTAGAATTGTTGTTGAATATTTCTAAAATATTTTAATATTCTGTTTATGAATATCTCCCACAAAATGAAAAAGAAAATATATCTCATTAGATAAATTAATACAAAATTAAAGAAAATGTTCTTTTGTGTTTCTATTTGAATACTGACTGAATGTAAAAATGTTGAAGATTTAATGCAAAAATAAGAACTTTAGAAATATTTCTTTTGGGTATTTCTTTTAATATTTTACTAATTTTATAAATTATTGATATATTAAAATAAGAATTTTACCTTCCTGTTTGTACATGGAGTTTAATTTCTTGTAAGAGAGCCACAACACAACCCGACGCAAACTTTATTCTGTTGACACCCTTTAAACAAAAAAAAAAAAAAAAAAACATTAACTTTATTGAAATAAACTATCAGAGATTTTTCAAAAGTTAATTTAAAAAGTCTTCAACAATATATTTAATCTGAAATAAAGATATTTTCAATTTTCTTCCAATAAATAAAGAAAACAGTTAATTAATATAAATTCTAATTCAAATGTTTTATTCAAAGAAATCATTTTTTATTAACCTTTTCACCAGCAGATATTAAATCAGGCTTGGTATATTATAGTGGCAGATTAACTGTGCCTCCAAAATTTACCATTTTTAAGTACAGTACAGTAAATTTTCATACTCGATAATCTTGATAAGTTTGTGGCTAGGATTAAGCTAATTTGAGGTACAAAATCATCCAAGTTTTAGGTACAGAAGAATTTTGTTTTAACGGATTGCTTGGGCCACCAAAAATTATCTGTTATTCCAAGAATCCGTTATATTGCAAACAATAGATTTTCCACACACACACCTATGAAAATATCAATTTTTTAACCTCTAATAATATATAAGAAATATAAGTACAGTAATTGAAATTATTCAGTCTCTTGAGATCTCTATTCTTTATCCTATAGAAACATGTATATTTGTAGCATACTAAGTTTTTTTAAAAAGATAAACTTGATATAATTTTAATTTCATACATGAGTAGATCATTTTTCATAAATCATATATTAAAATCATTATTTTAATTTAAAACTTTTCTTCCAATATTTAGTCATCTTTTTGTAGGTTGGTGATGAGTTTCTCATAATAGCTTTATTTGTACAAATAGGTACTATTAGAAATCAAATGTGATTTTCTTTCTAAAGATGTTATAAAACTATCCTACAAATATTGAAAGATAAAAAAAATTATTGAAGTTTCAATAAATTGTTATTATTGTCTACCAAACAATAACAATTGCTACATTTTAAGCACTTTTGTAACTTTTAAACTCTCTAAAAATGCACACTCAACACCAACAGGCTGGTATTTTTGTTTGAGTGGAAACGAAACCACAAATTCAAGATTATTTTAAATCGGATGAAAGTGGTTTCATTAATAAATTGTGTGAACCATACATTAATGAAAGGTGTCAACTTTGTACATTTAAAAATCTGTTTAAAAGAAAAAAGAAGCATCATTAATTTTTATTAACTTTGGTGGAATTACAATTCAATGCTGGTCATAATTCCACCAAGACAATTTTTATTTAATTTACTTTCCTACTTAGAATAAAACATTTATTAATTTTGGTTCACTGGTACATGTGTATTCCATGGTTCAGCTTAGTGCATTCATAGAAAAAAGCCATGCTTCTTTTGCACAGATTTTGATGACTTGCATATCATTTTAATAATAAATGTCATTTTATATGTAAAATTACTGAGAACTTTTAATAAATGATTATAACATAATAATGTAAAATCATAATATAAATCATATAAAATCATCAATGTAAAATGTTCTATAAACAAAATTAAGAAAATCTACAGGATGAAATCTGTATATTACTTCATTTCTTTTGTTAATTAATTAATAGTATATTACATTTTTTATTATAAATAAAACAATTGTCTTATAAATAATAGTATTAAGGAAAACAATTCACCTTATCAATGAGTGCAGTTAGTGGTTCTCCTTCATTTGTACTCTCACGTTTACTCCATTCGTAAGTTTTGCTTAAGCGAAGCTGTAATATATAACTTTGCCTTATTAAATAATTTTCTATTAATTCTCGTAATCAGAGAAAAAGATTCCTTAAATTGCAAAATCTATACTGTATTAAACCAAAGCAAATTTACAATTATAAATTAAGTAAACAGTTTCATATGGTGTTAATTTCTTATAATATATTATTTATATTATATTTCTTATATCAATATATAACATATAATTATTTTTGACAAAATGAAAACAAATGAGGAATTAATAATGAAATGAAACAAGCAAATCAAATTAAGGAAAATATACAGTTGAAATAGAAAAGAAAAAAAATTAAATTATTTGGACGTTATAATACAAAAAAAATGATACACTAGAGTATAAAAAATATGTTAAATCTATGTAACTCTTTAAAGTAATCAACTATAAATCAAATATACTAATATATATGAAGTTTAATATATTTAAAATATAAATAGATAAAATTAAAGGCAGGAGTAGTATAATAGAAAACCAGGAAAAAGAAATATAATAGTAAAAATATTTATGTTTAACAATAACCCTAAAAATTTATTGGATGAATGGATAAACAAAGTAATTAAAAATGAAAATAGAACTAAACAATTTGATGATGATAAAAAATGTGCAAAATTAAATTACATTCCTAAATTATTTGAAAGAGTAAGGAAACTATTAAGTAATAAAATAAATTTAATACAAAAAAAAATGATTTATTTAAAAAACATTCATATTATAGAACAGGGCTTCTTAAACTATCAGTCATGATCTCATTTGGGGTCACTTAGCGAGATTTTAATGCAAAATATTGAAAATAATTTGTGAGAGTTTGAAAATGGCATGCTTTGTGTCATAGGTTTCGTGAGTTGCGCTTTGTGTCACTTCTGGTACAGAGAGACAATGATTCAGCAACACTGATTGTAGTGTGAACTAGTGTAGTGTTGTCACCAGGGCTGTGGAGTCTCGTAAAAATCTACTGACTCCAACTCTGACGCTTCCTTACCATTCGACTCTGACCAGGGGCAGACTTGTTACCAAAAAAGACACGGAAATTCTGATGTCATCATGTGACCTCAGAATAAAAGATTCAATAAATAGAGTTCTAATAATGATAGAATGTAGAAACTTTTTATTCCAAAGCTAAAAGACTCCTCTAAGTAATATATAAATACGTATTCAATAACTTTTACTTTTCCGGCTGTTATATATAACAGAGGGAAAGTGTAGCGCTGGGTCAAAAAATGACCCTTTCCAAATTTTTACATTTTTGGACTTGGGACAACTTGAAATTTTGAGATATGCAAAAGATTCGAGGTTTTTCTATATGTGTGGATGTTAGACTGTGGGGGGACATGATTTTGTTCACCCTGTTTGAGCCTAATAATTTTTGTGGTCAGAGTGGTCAGAATCGGAGTCAGATGGTTTAACACAGGAGTTAGTTATTAAGTGTCAAAGTGGTTGAACTAAATCGTGTCACCATATATGTTCTAACATCTTAGGCAAGAACATCTTAACAGGTTTTACTCTACTATTATAAAATAACAAATAGTTTACTTTGAGGGTAGAGACAAATTTTATTTTTTTTTAAATTTTGAATGCTAATAACGAGTAAAATATTCATTAAGAGATATGACACATGACCACTTTTATGTCTTCACCCTGTCAACCTTTAATTAAGAACAAAAATTTAATAGTATTAATGCCCCTTTATACGCGAGCTACAGTGCCACATTTCATTTCTTAAACTTTACCCATTCTGAGATATTGTTTAGTATCTCAAAACTAAAACAATAATGGTGTGCTACCACAGTTCACTCTTGTGTTACAATGGAACAGACAACTGAATACACTGAAAAGTGACAAGCAGGGCTGTGGAGTCGGAGTCATGGAGTTTTGGTATTTTAGCTGGAGTCGGAGTCGTCAAAAAATCCGCCGACTCTGACTCCTTTTTACTTTCCAACTTCTTATGTATATAAAATGGAAAAGTATTGGAATCGTGTCAAATTTGACCTCCAGGTTTTTTTTGCAAATCTACATGTTTGGAGACCTCTCGAACCCCTCAAAAAGTCAATAAAAATTTAGAGGAAAAATTCGCTTGTGTGACTGCAGGGTCGGCACCTCTTTGGCGCCCTGTCAGGATGACACCACTGTGTCTTGTAGTAGACACAGAAAAATTTTGTTATTGGCCGTTTATTTACGCGAACGGTCGCGTTGTGGACTTTTAGTTCCGGGATGGAGTCGTACCGAGAGAACCAGAGGAATCACACTATACATTCTCTATACATAATGCCCGTTTATTGTTCATACTATATACAATCGCAATAGCTATATACAATCGGTTAATTAGCATATCAACTTTCACCGGTTACCCGTATTTCTGAGAGAGAGCTCACATATATTTCGCGCGAGGATAAATACCTTAGTTTGAATCGTTGATTAGTCTTGGGTTGAATCGTTGAT